GTCTTAAGAACCTTCTACCAGGAGGCTCATGCCACGCCAGGGGTTGATGCCTGTGTTACCAAAGGGGCTCTCCATTACGTTACTTCTCCAGCATTTTGCCAGCAACTGTAATATATTAAGGACTTTCCTTTGGAGCAATTAGAAAAACTCCAGGGAATCACCAAAGAGGGTTGCTGTTGCTATGTTTTTGTCTATTTTGGCAAGAGGCAGGGAAAACAACTACACTAAGAGAATTCAAAAGTAGAGATCTGTGACGGTTAATTTCAGAGTCCCAGTAACCACCTCTCTCTCCTCCCCTGACTGCAGCCATCCCACTCAGCCCCCAGACCTCTCAACCAGCTGGCTAATGCCTGAAGTTGTAAAATTATAAGATCATTTATGTGTTCATACTTTGTAAACCCTTGAGAAAGAGCCTTGCTTTTGATTTTATGAATCATCAGCTCCTCAGTCACTTGGCTCCATGTACTAGGAGCAGTTGTACAGTTCAACCTCAGATCTGAATCCGGGTTGCTCTCATTACTTTATTAGTTGGTTTAAGAAACTGCTAACACATTGAGAGCTTACTATTTGTCAGACACTTTTTTTTAGTACTTTACATTTATCTTCTCAGCTTGTTTTCACATGAAACCAGTGAAGTAAATATTTTTATTATCCCCACTTTGAAGAAGAGGAAATTGAGGCTTAGAGTTTAAGTAACTTCTCAAGATTCCTCAGCTTGTAATTTGCAAAGTAGAGGTTTAATCTCAGAGAGTTTGATTGGTGTTGGCATTTTCAACCAGTATGGTATCCTGTATTCATTTTCATCAGAATCATAAATAGGAGAATTTGGTGGAGCAGGCATGGTGGTGCTTGCCTATAATCCCAGCATTTGGGAAACTTACTGAGACCCTGTCTCAAAATAAAAAAGGGCTGGGGATGTAGTTCAGTGCAAAGGCCCTAGGTTTAATTCCTTATACTGAAAAAAAATTTGTTTCATGGACACTTTTTCAAAAATTGATATCCACGTAAAGGAGTTTTTGTTTTGTTTTTGTGTTTCCCAAAGTCAAGTTCACAATAATGGGTGCATATAAACATCTTAGATGAGTAAATTGGACCCCACACATAATTTTAAAAAGTAAAAATAGAAAGCCACTGGTAGGGAAGCCTTTGTTTTGCAGTGAACTTGTTTGTGTGTTAAACATTGCACTTCACTCCGTGGTATTTGCGGGTTGGCACAACCACTGCCATTTAAGTTGATTCCCTTATCACGATAATAATGACTAGGATTAGCCCAGTTGAATGGGTACCTGCTTTGCCCAGAGGTTACAAAAGCCTTTGCTAGAGATCCAGGCTTTTCTGGCAATGAGAGTTTAACCAACAAGACTGGTATATTCTCTGTGGATAAACAGCAGTCCTTGGTGCAGAATGAAGGAAGTCAAGGAAAAGGTGGAAGGATCTCTGGTCAAACAGAGGGGAAATTCCACTGAGCTGGAACGCTGTGAATGGCAGAACCCTATGAATAACGGTAAGCTTCCAGAATGGGAGGGAAACAGGTGTTTTTGTTCATGGAGTATTTAGGTAACTGAGAATCAAATAGGAGAATGAGTGTTTAAACAAAAACTTGTACATGCATGTTTATAGATGCTCTGTTCACAGTAGCCTAAAGGTGGCATCAACTCAAATCTCCATGAAGAGATGAATGGATAAAATAAGATAGTATAACTGTACAATGGAACATTATTCAGGTGCAAAGTACTAATACATGCTGCAATGTGGGTAAACCTTAAAACACTGTAGAAATGAGAGTCCAGGCACAAAAGGCCACAGAAGTGTGTCTCCATTTCTATAAAATATCCAGAATGGGCAAATCCACAAAGACTCAGGAGATGAAAGTAGATTAGTGAATGGCAGGGCTGGGGAGGGGAGGACAGGGAGTGACTGCCCGATGGGTGTGGCGTTTCCTTTTGGGATGAGATGAAAATATGCAGGAACTAGGTGAGAGCTGATGGTTGTTCTTAGTGCCACTGAACTGTACACTTTAAAATGGCTAAAATGGTACGAAGTTACTGTTGACTCAGATGGAGGTCTCCTGAGAAGCAAGGGTATCCAATCGCCCCAAAGTGGAATGCTAAAAAAGGAGGAATAGGGGATCCTCAATTGGTAGGGAAAAACAAAAGAGAATGGTGGTTCTGGGGTTGTGACGTTGCTGATGGCAAAGCCTGACTTCATCCAGCCCTTTCTGAGCACTGTGTTTGTGTTGCAGGGAGGCTGATGTGTGGGTGACCTTAAAAAGTTGAAACTTGGGAGCCCAACATTGGACTTCCTCAAAGGCTGGCACTGACCACAGTAGGAAGCCCAGGGGCCTGGATACAAAGTCACAAGGTCCAGTGGTGGCCTGAAAAAGCAGGACATTGCACCCTGGCTTGGGGGTGTCACCACAATCATCAGAGCTGGGGAGCAGCTGTCCCTTACACAAGTCTGTGCTCTCCACTGTGACCCCTCCCTGGGCTGCCATTACTCATTTCCTGTAAATGATGGGTCCCGCAGGTAGGAAGCCGCCTGCATCTGCTTCCCTTTGTCCTGCTCCCTCCTCACAGCTGAGACACCAGCTCCTGACTGTCAGACCAGCAGGTCAGAGTTGTAGGCTCACTTCCTAGAAAGGAACACACTGTCTTGGGCATGTGGTATGTGACTTGCCAGGTTCCATGCCCTAATTCCAATATAAATAACTGCTATCTCAAACATGAAGTGCCTCATTTTAAGTGAATGGAGCTGATCAAGTAAGGAAATCCCAAAGTGGCTGTCTTCAGTAGTTAATCCAAAGAGCTGAGAGGCCTCACCACCGCAAAAATAAATGAGAAAACAGAGCTCAGCGGGTATTACTATGGTAACTTCTTTAGAAAATGTGGTCTTTCCTTTCTCAAGATGTCTCCTAGCACTCTTTTGATACTTTCTCTCTCAGAATAAAGTTAACACATATCCACATATATACAGTCAACCATTTCTGGTTTTGGAATCTATTTTTCAAGGAGCAGTTCCTCAGGCAAGTGGAGAGGCACAAGCACAAACTGGCACAGGGAGGAGTGTGAGTGGGGGGGGCTTTTTGTGCCCTCTGTGCTTTTTACCTTGAGTTCCTCTTGGTCACCTAGGCACCCTTTATACCTCTGCACGGTTGGCATCACTCTCTGGAACCCCATTCTACTCTACCCCTTCTCCCCAAGGCCAGCTCAAGTTCATTCTTCAAAACTCCGCTCCAGAGTCATTTCCTCCATGAATATTATTTTCTTTTCTTTTCTTTGTTGTCTTTCACTACTAGGGATTGAGCCGAGGGAGTACTGACCTACATTCCTGTCCCCTTTTTTCTTTGGACAAGGTCTCATCAGGTTGCCCAGGCTGGCATCAAACTTGCAAACTTCCTGTCTCAGCCTTCCAAGCAGTTGGGATTACAGTTGTGCACCACTGTGCCCAGATTATGAAATATTTCTTGACTACTCCAGTCTGGTTAGATGTGGGACTCGTGGTCTCCCATTGTTCCCTGGGAGAAAATGGCGAGAGAATTTAGAAAATAAAGACAAGAGACAATAGCCAGGTCCAGGAAGAGTTACCTGTTACCTGGTGAACAAGAGGACTGACCTCAGCAGTAGGGGCATTTATTTTATACTGTTGCAAAGTTAGTATCAGGAAAGGTAATGTGGCCTAGTGACTAAGGACTGTAATTGTCCGGGCAGGATGCTTTTTTCAATACTGAGGTAGCTTGACTGCTTGAGGCACTCTGGCTCTGTCCTGCCCTCACACACGTGACCAGTATCCAGCTGCAGCGGCTCCCAACAGTGGAATCAGCCTCCCAGAGCTCCTTCTTACTCACCAGTAGCTTCACTCTCACACCTTGTTGGTCTTATTCCTGTGTCTCCTGCTCAACTCTTAAGTTTCATGAGTCCCAGCTCTGCTGCTTCCTAGTTGCATGACTCATTGAGCTAGGTAAACTCAGTTCTCCCATCTGCAAAATGGGAATGATCATTCTTGTTTGTTTTTTTGTCGTTTTGAGACAGTGTCTCACTACGCAGTTCAGGCTGGCCTTGAGCTCACTTTGTAGCCCAGGCTGGCCTCGAACTCGCAAACGATCCTCCTGCCTCAGCCTCCCGAGTGCTGGGATTACAGGCGTGCACCGCCAAGCTGGGCTATTCCCAGTTGTTTTGGTTATTAAAATTTGCAAAACACCTAAACAATACCTATAACATCCAATAAATAAATGAACTGTAATAAAGCAAGCAGAATTATTATTACAATTATTAATCTTTTCTCCATTCCCAGAGTCTATTACAAATGAAGTAGACAGGTATGAAATGGGGTTTCAGTTAACATGCTCACTGTGGTTAATATAGAACTGTGCTGAGCCATCCAACCGTGACCAGCTTCTTGTGTACTGAGCACTTGAACAGCAGCTAATCCAAACTGAGATGTGTGGTGAGTGCAAAAACCACCTCCTGTGCTGGAGACCTATGTGGAAGACAAGGCATGAAATCCCTCCTGATAACTTTTATACTGATTCCACGTTGAAGATACAAGCTTTTGGATATTTTGGGTTAAATAAGATACATTCTTAAAAATAATCTTGGCTGCTTAATTTTATTTTTAAAAATGAGATTGTAAGGGAATTTGAAGTTATATATATGATTATGTTATTTCTCCACAGGATGGCACAGATCTAGAATGTCTCAAGCCTACTATTAGTAGAGCAAATCTTCACACAACCTCATTTACTCTTCAGTATGATGTGAGCTTTGGGGGTTCAGATAATTCATTTAGCGCAATGATGTGTTCAGAACCAACAGTGCATCCCGTGGGATGGAGGTGCGGCTCAGTGGTAGAACACTTGCCCAGCATGACAAGGCCCTGGGTCAGAACCCGCAATAACAGGATAACACATCCAATCAGTTTGTGAAGGCTTTGCATGCAGGGTGAATAAGCTAAGGTACAGAAATATGTAGGAAAAGGACTAACGCTTTCCGGGGATTTTCCAGGTTCGCTGTGATCCCGAGATTCAAGAACTGCGTCAGTGGCAGAAGAAACTCCGGGAGGACAAGCACATTCACCAGCGAGTGCAAATGTTCTGGGCCAACCAAGAACAAAAAGGTCAGTCGCTTGGTTCACAGCCCTTAGCTCATTCCGGAAAAGCCTGATTCTTATTCCAGGCTCAAGAAGGAACCCCTCTGAGATATCAGAAGGTCCTTGTGTTTGCACAGAGCTCAGTCTGTATGTGGAGGAAGTGGCTGCGTGTTAAGATTCTACTCTGGAATAACAGTGTTGATATACTTTACATGGCCACTTCCTTCCCTCAAGGGCAACTTCAGTGTCACCTTCCATCTGCAAGTTCTTATTTTTTAAGCTGTGTGACATCAAGAATAATCCATTATTTTGAAAATACGGTGTCTATCAATATGAGAAGTAGTTATTCTTGAAGTTGTTGTGTGCCTAAATTTAAATGGTATTTCATGCTGTCTTCTCTTTGTGAATGCTAGTTTTATGCATCAATTTGACTGGATTCCTGGATGGCCAGATAGCTGGTAAACTTTATTTCTGGGTATGGCTGTGGGGATGTTTCCAAAATAGGAATTTGAATCTGAAGTGGTGAAGTGAACCAAATGGATAGCTGTCCCCAGTGTGGGTGGACCTTGTCTGATCTGTGAGGGCCTAAATGAAACAAAAGGTCAGGAAGTTTGAATGAACTGCTTGACTACTGGAACTGGAACATTGGTCTCCTCCTGCCCTTGATGCTCAGGGTTCTCAGGTTCTCAGACCTGGGCTAGGATCTATACCACTGGCTCTCCAGCTCTCAAACCTTTGAACCACACTACCAGACTCTCTGTATCTCCGGCTTGCAGACAGCACATGGTAGGTCTTCCCGGTCTCCATCATCTTGAAACAGTACCTTACAATGAATCTCTTCCTTATATCCAAGATTCAGTCCATGTATATATATCCTCCTATTGGTTCTGTTTCTCCAGCAAACTCGAATACACTTTTATTTTGAGCAATTGAAAACATACAGAAAGAAGTACAAAGAATAATATAAAAGATATCTATCATCTGTCATATGCAAGGGTTAAACTTTTCTCCTGTTTGCCTTCATTCTCTTTTTTTTTTTTTTTTTTTTTTTTTTGAGACAGAGTCTCACTGTGCAGTTCAGGCTGGCCTTGAGCTCACTATGTAGCCCAGACTAGTCTCAGACTCGCAAACGATCCTCCTGCCTTAGCCTCCCGAGTGCTGGGATTACAGGCATGGGCCACCATGCCCAGTAGCCTTTATTCTTTTTAAACTTTAAGTTAGTACATATCCACATTAAGAAAATTGCAAAAATAGACGCCAAAAAGGAGGGAAAGCTAGAAATCCCACCATGATTAATATTTTACTGTTTATCCTACTATATGCCATTTTCAATATAAAAAGATACAAACACACACATATATATTCATATTTTATTAAAATTGGAGTTACGTGTATATTCTGTTATATACTCACTGTTCCTTTGGCTTTAAAATTCTCTGAATATCATTCTAGTTAGTAATGAGACAGCAGCGTCATGATATTTAACAGCTGTGTGGTGTAGATTTAGCATCATTTAGTTAACCATAATGTGGAAGGAGATTCATGATGTATTTTCAAGTCAAAAATATAAAATTGCAGAGCTATGTTTTATCCATATTTAAAAATATATACGTGGAAATTGTGATATCGAAACAGTCTGGAAGAAAATTGATGATAGTTACCTTTGGGAATTTGGACTAGATGGGAGTGAGTGTCCTGTTGGAATTTTTAAATAAACACATAGTACTTTATAATTATGAAAACTTACAAAGTATTTCTATGCATCCTCTCACCACTCAGCCTGTCCTGGACCCACTTCCCCTCAGTAGGCTGCAGTCCTCACCACCCCAAGCCTCTTTCTCTTCTTGAGATGAGACACATAAGAATCCTCACCTCAGGCTTCCATAGTTTCTCTTCCCTTCTGTCACATCACCTTTCTCAGCTCTTCTGTGACCCCTCTGTTTCATCCTTTAGAAGTGTGTCATCATCTCCTTAGAGAGGGCATCCCTAGCTGTGCTGTCTAAAGGGACAGGGAACCAGTTTACTGAGAAGCCTCAATATGGGGTGGTCCAAACAAAAATTTTATTTTCTCTGCAGAAACTGCCTTCAGCCCTGCTCTATGAATCTCTTTTCAGTCCCTTAAAGGCATATTGGGTACATTCCATATGTTTTCTGTAAGCTCTGATTTCATAAAGTCCAATATAATTAAAGCATCTCAATCTCTGATCCAGTTTAATGCTCACCATATGGGAACAGTGAGAGAACTAGTGAGTCTTTTATGGCTCGACTTCTTCATCCTCTTGATCTGTTCTCTGCTCTTCTAAATGTCCTGATTTTGATCAATGTACTCAGGTTTGATAAGAAATCACCTTGTTCTTAAGACATAAGCCAAGGGACATGATATGTGTCTCAGTCTTAGATGACTCACAAAAAATATGCAATACACTTATGTGCATACACACAGAATAAAATGCAAATGTGAAATATAAAAATTGGCAAATCTAGCAGTTCTTGGTGCAGTTACCGTACCACAACTTTTCCATAAAGTCACAATTATTTTCAAAGTTTTAAGTTGAAATTCTAGTGCTTCATTTCCAGAGATTCAGACTTTTTTGCTTTTGGATGAGATGATGGGAACCAGGCACCAATGGTAATGTAATGGTTCCCAGCCTCTTTAAAATGTGGTGTCCTTGAGCCCTCTAGGTCCTGAGCTCTGGGTACTGCTGAGGAGTGACTGTACACCTGTCCTTTGTTTCCTTAGCAGTTATTTGACTTTCCCACTGGAGTGTAAGCTCTGTGAGGACAAAGATCTGCTTGGCCTGATTCACCCCCTAAAACAGTGCCTAACTCAAAGTGAACATTCAATAAAAATTTGATGAATATTTGAATGAGTGAGTGAGTGAATGAATGAATAAATGAATGGAGCTATGAAGCTTAAATGAGGTATTACGTACAAGTGCCTAGTGCAGAGTAGAAAGAATACCTTACATTGGCAGCCCCAGTGTCTGTCATAAATAAACAGCTTGAGCAATTATTGCCGCCTGGCTGGCTCAGCCCAAGCCTCTCTTCCACACTCAAATGCCCTCAACCGCTGTTTCATTTCACTTCCAAATTGGAAGATAGTCAGGCCTACAATCAGCTTAAAGGTCAAGGGAAGTACAGTGTGCCCATTTATTGCTGTTGTTCCGTATTCTTTGGAGTTGATTTGCTATTGTTAGCTGATTGATTGATTTGGCTTGCTATGGAGCAAGGAGAGTAGAGCACATTGAATGTGGTCATCAACCAGCAGGGGAGCAGAGTACAAAATGTTCCATTTCAGTTGCCTGTGACTCCATGGCCTTGCCACCTTCCAAGGCCCCAAGATGCTTTCTATGTAAGCCATATCTTTAGTAAACTTCCCAATGTGAACCAGGGTGTAAAATTTCCATTTCCACCAGGACTATGAAATGGCCCTTGGGCAAAAAAGCCAGTTCTAATGACTGTCCCCAAATCTGTGTTTAGTTAAGAAGTCGGGACTTGGAGGAGTAGCAGTGGTAGAGTGCACACAAGGCCCTAGGTTTTATCCCCAGCATCACACATATGAAAAAGTCGGATAACATTAATGGGCAAAGAACCAAGTGTTGAAGCTGTCCAGATGTGCCTTTGGAATCTGTTTAGATCTAAAATGTCTCCTAAAATTGTTGTGTGTTTGAAAAACGATTAATTCAGGAAGGTGCAATGGCCGATTTGCTGTTAGGACGTGGGGCTTGAGTGGAGGTGGGTCACTGGCATATGACCTGGAAGGGTGTATTCTTGTCCTTGCTCCTCCCTTCTCTCTCTCTGCTTTCTGGCTGCCAGAGGTTGAGCACGTTTTCATCTCCCATGCCCTTCTGCCATCCTATTACTGGCTTGGAGCCAAATGACCATGGACTGAAACTGTGAGCAAAAAAAGTAAACCTTTCCACTGCTAAGTTGTGGGTGTCTGGTATTCCAATTTGGTATTCCAGTTCTGATGCCTATTCTTCCTGAATATAACATAAGGAGTGTTAGATTTCTTATGATCTGGGAGTGGGGATTATTATTATCTAGGAGTGGGGATTATTGCTCCCTGCTTTGTGTTTGCGTTGACTGAGGTCCCTAGGTAGTTGGAGCTGAATTATGCTGAGCAGGGTGCAACTTGGTACTTACCAAGTAAAACAGATCTTTTTGGTTTCTTCAGGTATCACCAAGCTGAAAAGAAACATTTTGTGATGCTCATGTGCTTCAATGGCTTTCTGTTTTCAACATTATGAATCTGGGTCCTGGCAGGGGGTTAGAAATACATTTCCTTAGCCAAGGAGATATTGTAATTATAGCCCCCAAAGACCTCTAGTACATCTAGTTCTCCTTGAGCTGTGCAGTAAAAAGTAGTGGAGTGATTACAAATGAAGTTTTTCAACTTCATTTTTTAAAAAAATCTTACCTATATACAAATTCAGAAAACAAACATCCTTTTAAATTGTTGCCACTCTGTCTTTATTATGCTCTGGCATTTACAGTGAATATAAATTTTGCCTAAGTCATTTCTTGGAGCAACTTCAGTGCAGACAGGAGGTCTGAGGGAGAGTACCATCAGCTGTCGGGGTAGAATCCTGGTCATATATAACTGGTCTCATGTTACACTGAGTCAGAGGCCACAGTCCCAACTAGTATTTTTTCTAGGACAGAAGTGTGAAGTTATCCGCCAGTCTCTATCCCATCAGAACAGATGCAAGAATTATTTTAAATGTGTGTTTTAAGAATTTCAGCCAATGCAATTCAAAAGAAGATGCCTGCTCATTTTCGAAATGTGGCCACAAATCCTATCTTGATTCATAGCATACTTTTAGCTTCATGTAGTTGGCAATTGTTTTCAAATATAAATGAAAGCCCACGTTTTACTTGGGAATCTAGTATAAGCAAGGAGAAAGAAACCATAGAAATTATTCCCATTACATCAGAGACACATACCCATATATAACATCTGATAAATTTATCATGAATAATTGTATATATATTCAAATAATCTATAAATGGCTCTATCACTTGATGTTTTGAAAAAAAGAAAGACAGGAAGACAAGTGACCTATCAAAGGAAAATGGATTATTTACTTTTTTTTTTCTCTTTTTGGAATTATTTATTCCCTACTTCAGTATTTTATAGTAATTATAGAAAAACCTGCAATATGTTTTTAGGTAAATATGGTAATTGAGTTAAGGAAAAATTAAGATTAGGGAAAAAATAAAGTCACTAAACATAATAAACAAAAATATTCCAAGACCTGTATTTGCTAGAGATTTTTTTTTCAATTTTAAAATACATTGGTGCCTCGGTTCACGAACTTAATTCATTCCAGGATTCTGGAAAAGATGTTCATGTTCCTGCAGGAAAGATGGTCATGGTTGTGTTCAGTACCCAATGTAGAGTTCACAAGCAAAAACAAAATTTTCCCAAACATTTCTGTTTGCAAACCAAATTGTTCACAAATAAAAGCATTTGTGAACTGAGATACCACTGTATTCATCAAAAGTTGTGTATATTCAAGAACGATGTGATGATTTAATGTACACACACATTGTGTGATGATTACAGCAAATTAATGGGTGTGTTGCCACCCACAGTTACCATTTGAGTGCATGTGTGGTGAGGACACTCAAAATCTGCTCTTCTGTCAAATTTCAAGTACATAATACAGTATTGCTAGCAATAGTCACAATGCTCTATATTAGATCCCCAGAATTTGTTCATCTCATAACTAAAAGTTTGTACCCTTTTGCCCAAATAGAGGTGTCTTAGAGACAAGACAAAGAAGAGAAACAATCTGTTACGTAATTAAGTGTACATAGGAATAAAACAAAACAGTTGTCAAGGAAATGCTGGGCCCTTCCCTAATACATTACGCAACGTCAACAATGGTCTCAAATATGTTCTTACAATTAATAGAAATATGGCTCTGAGCTTCCTAGAAGCCACACCAATAAAGGAAATAGGACCATTCATGGTTTATTGCGTCCTCAAGATTAAAAAAGTTTCTTAGAAGAACACTTCTTCCTGGAGCTGAGGTATATTTTTCACCCATAAAGGGGACAGTGTGCAACACAGTGAACAGTGTCCTTTCTTTCAATATAATACCAAGCCTCTTAGAACAGTGTTTCTTTCTAGAAGGAAAAGATGAAATCCTGAGGTAAGAGATGGAAACCAGGGAAATTTCTTGCCCGTTTTAAACTTGTATTACAGTACACATTCTGGCTATTAGGATTTCCCTATGGATTAAAGGGTGTTTGTGAGCTGAGGGTAGAGTTCAGTGGTAGAACACTTTCCTAGCAGCAAAACTCTGGGTGCCATCCCTAGCACCACACCTTAAAAGAGAGAGATGTTGCTTAAAATAAGCACCTCCTTTTGGCCACACGACTTTCTTGTGACCTTAGGATGCTGCCGGGACTTGGTTCTTTCCTTCCTACACTATGTCACTGGGTGTATCACTGAGAGCAGAGAAGGCTGTCTGCACTAAGGAGTAGTTGTGATTTATCAAGCAGATACCTTATGTTTCAGTGTAATCCGCACAGCTGCTCTCTCAGGGAGATGATACCATCATCACCATTGTGCAAATGAGGAAACCGGGGCTGGGAGGATGTAGGACCAGAAACCAGGCATTTGAATCCAGATCTACCTGATGCCAACTAGGCTAAGGCTATTCAAGAACTGTTGTAGTTTGGGGTTTTGCAAGGGGAACAATGTAGTACAGGACACTTAATTATAAGATTATTTTATAATAGTCACTCAGAGTCATATACAAAAAGAGTGTGAGCCCAGGATCTCACGGTAATGTCCTGCATGAGTCCAGCTGAAGACCTAGAGCCTATAACAATGCCCCCTACAAGTCCAACTAGAGGCCAACAGCCCACAACGATGCCTCTTGCAGGCTTGTTTGATGGATCTGTGTTGGGAGGACCCAAAGGTCAATGGTGAAAGCTAGAAAGTCTGTTCCAGAGGGATGAAAAATCTGCACAGGAGCCAGGAAGCAACATGCAAAGTAAAAACCAGAGCTCTCCCGAAAGGTACCACTGCCATCCTTAGTGACAGTGAGGTCCTGAGCTCCTCTGATGATGAGAACAGCTGAGCTCCTATCAGGAAAGCCAGTGCAACAAGCTTCTCCAGTAGACTGAGCAGTGCACCATCTTCCCCTCCAGAGCAAGGAAGCAATGTTCAAAGAGGATCAGACCTCTCCCAAAGTGAACTATAGCTATTCCCAGGGACACCATGGTCCTGAGCTCCTTTGATGATGAGAAAAGCTGAGTTTATCAGGAAAGTTAGCATGACAAGATCCTCCAAGAGAAGCAACAGCAGCACCAAGAAAACCAACAGCTCCCACAGTTTCTGAACTTTTTCCTCTCCAGTTCTGCCTCTTATGCTACCAGCAGCAATCCTCAGGTGGGCCTCCCACACCCAGCACCATGGTGGTTCAGTTCAGCTGGGTGTTACAAGTTGACCACCAGTTGTCAATCCACCACAAGAACCCAGTAGGGGATCTTGGCCCAATGAAAAGCCTCTTAATAGAGGACCTGAGGACTTGGCATGCCTCCACCCATCATGATAACTCTGAAATGACTGCAGACCACATGTATAGGGAGAGGCTGAGACCCTTGTCCAAAGGTCATAAGATCTGTACCTTACGTTTTAGAAGACATTCTTTCTTAGAGCTGGAAGCCAAGATAAGAGTAGGAAGAATATATTTGCCAGTCTAACTTGTTCTTATCTCCTCCGTCCAATCCCCTGCCCAGCTGCAGATGAGGAACAGGTAGGGGCTTTGCCACCAAAGAAGGGATTCAGGAACAGAGAATGTTCTGGTAGAGCCTATGGCTCAGAACATGGGTTCTAACATTAACTGAGATCTTTTGTGACCAATAAACACAATCTCTCATACCACAAAATAGGTGAAATCTTCAGTAACTTATTTTCTAGGGACAAAACCACACTATCAAGTGTAGCAGACAGAATTTTTCACCCACCTATCATTATACAAATATTTATATGCACAGATATATATGTATATATTATATGTGCATTGCACTGTAACATCTGCAACATGATTTTTTCTTCACTTGACAATATATCTTTAACATCTGTTCATACCAGTATTTACAGATCTATATCATTGTTTTTAGTGGCTCCACAAAAATGATAGATCTATACTGTACTTTTTATTTTAACCAATCCCTATAAATGATTATTTACCTTGTATTATGAACAGTGCTCCAAAAATACTTTTGTGGATATAGGCTTGCTTACTTAGAGAAGCATTTCTGTAGCCCCTGCTAAGAAATGAAATTGCTGGGTCAAAGTACATGCATATATTAAATTTAGACAACAGTGACCAAATTATCACCCAAAAATGTTGCATCGATTTATATACTTCATGCCACCAACCCACTGTAATACTTTTGACAAGTGATATCATCCTTGTACTTTATTTTCCCTACTTGTAAAATAAAAATTATTATACCTCAGTCATAATTTTAAATGAGGTCATTGTTTTGATAATACCATAGCTCTTTAGGAAGAAACAGATCTGAAAATTTAAGCAGTCATTTTTATTTAAATGTTTTTCTTTCCTGTTTCCTCTAACGTTAGTTCCTTCTCCATTTTAAAAAAAGAAATAAAAATTTGACTAAGAGACCTCTAGTGACTTCAAGCCTTGATATTACTTCTATTGATTTATTTTTAAGACTCACCATTGGGTCGCGGGGTGTTTGAATAACATCCAAGTTTCATACCTATTTTTTTCACTTAAAATTTGCAAAACTATGCACAGCTAAGACATGCCTTCTATTTGAAATGTTTGGACATACATACTCTTCTGCTGGAATTATAAAGTAAAATAAGCTAGCTAGAGTGGTGCATGACTGTAGTCCCAGCTAGTCTGGAGCCTGAGGCCCAGGGCTTGCTTGTGCCCGAGAGTTCAAGATTAACCTGGGCGATATAGCAAGACCCTGAGACCCCCCCATGTCTTGGTAGAAAGGGAAAGAAGGAGGGAAGGAGAGATGGAAAGGCGGGGAAAGGAAAGGGAGTAGAAGGGAGGGGAGGAAAAAAGTAAAATGAAAGATTATTTCCTTTCCTGTGGTTACCCAAAAAGTTCAAGATATATATATATTTTTTTTGGTACTGGGAATTGAACTCACAACCTCATGCTTGCCAGGCAGGCGCTGTGCCGCTGAGCTATATCCCCAGTCCTAAGTTCAAGATTATAAATTTAAGTTTTATGCAAATGAAAACTTCATTAGCTCTCCAGTCTTTCATCTATTTGGTTAGATGCTTCTTAATAATTGTGTAGATGTAGAAGGCTTTTATAAAATCTAGATAGAACTATAACCTCTGTAAAGTTCATGACCAGGTTGTCCTAAGTTTTCCATTTCTCACCTAGGCAGCCTTTCTGTGACTCTGTATAGCAAGAAAATGGCGATACTAATATTTGTAACCACCCCGTAGGAGTTTTTTAAATTTGTTTTTGCTTTTGCTTTTTGCAATGATGGAGATGAATCCAGGGTCTCAAATTAGGCAAATACCTTAGCACTGAGCCACAGACACAGCCCCCTGCCTTTTTTTTTTTTTGAGGATTAAATAAACTGGAATTGTGTTTGGCTCATAATAAATGATCAATAAAAGGAAACTATTATTAGGCAGCATGTTCAACATATGGTTAATATGTGCTGTTATGAAGCATATTGGCTTTGGGAGTCTGCCTGTTACAATCATTGTGGTCAGGGGCAAGTGACTCCTGCCCTTGAGGTCAGTTTTCTCCTCTGTTATATGGGGGAAAAATAGGACCTGTCACTAGGCTTCCGTGAGAAGATACCCACCCATGTATGGTGTTAAACAGAGACTGGCACAAACCATCAATAATTGGTGTCTGGGTTTAGTAATATTTTAAATGTAAGGAAAAATGAAGTTTTTATCCTAGGAAATGTACCCACAGCAGTGGCATGGAGGCTGGCTTCAGATGAGAATTTATAAGGGTGTGTCAGGCTACAGGACAGAGAAAATGATTACGTGGGTTTATTCTTGGTAGAGAATGTGTTGTAATCACATCAGCAAAGCCTAATATTGCAGATTAACTGCAAGATCTTAGTAATAGCTTTGGATTCAAAATCTTTCTTTGCAAGGCTTCTCTACTAATGCAGTGTCATTTGGATTAAAATGCAGGGGATCTGATTTCCTGGCCCAACTTTGCAATTTACCAGCTAGATGAGTTTTGCCTTCTATTTAGGAAAATGGAAAGGATGCCTCAGGAAGTGCTCCCAACAACAAAATAAAATATCTTGTTAGGTATGTGCTGTAGAATCTTTTGCCTGCCAGCAGGAGGCCTGCTGTTGGGCAGCTACAAACCTTGGAAAACCTTTGCTGTTGTCTAGGTGGTGGCTGTTGAGTTTGGGGCTTTGGTTTCACAATTAAAGGCAAGAACAGTAGATGGTGACCATTCTGCTCTATCAGGGAATGGGGTCCAACAGTTGAGGGCCAGAGAATAACTGGAGGTTTCAAGGTTGAGGGAGAAGAGGGAGTGTGGAATGGCAATTTAAGGGCTTTTAGGGGAGGGCTGAGGTCTTGCAAGACCCTGGGTTTGATTGCCAGCACTGAAGAAAAAAAGAAGGAGAAGAAGAAGCGAGTAGAGAGAGAGAAGGAGAAAGACAAAAAAATCCAGGAGAGACTGAAAGAAAGAGTAGAGATGTTTGAAGCAGATTGTGTGCAGTCAAGCATGTATTTGAGAAGGTGGGAAAGCATATAGTCTGCAGTGAGGACTACCTCCTGTCACCATGTTTGAGTCAGTCCCAGAGGTGACTCTTTCTGAAAGAAAGCCAGAACTTTGGCAGGGGCTTGCACCTGCCATGTCACGTCTTGTCTCAGCCTCAGAACACTACTGTCTGTCCTCTTAGCTGCCAAACACTGGGTGCCCAAGAAAATTCTTCACTTGATCTTAGCCAAAAGTCCGAGAAACGATGCAAGAAGATTCTTGACCTCAGAAAAGCTGTACTTTTTTGAATGCCTACTATGTGCCAGGCATTTATTATTTCCAATCTTCATGGCAAACTGACTAAGGAGAAAGTTTTATTGTTGTCATCTTCCAGGGGAGAAACTGGTCAGAGGCTGAATCATTTGGTTACATAGCTGTAAAGTGGCTGAGCTGAGGACACAGAACTTTCCCCTTCAGGCTATGCACAGCCTCTGTTAGGCTATAGAATTAACTATGCTAGTTCCTCAACAAATTCTGTTTGTGTAATATATTTAACCTGGTCACTGCTTAATAACTTTTAAGTGGTTAGTTCTTTTGAGTCCCCCAGGATTTCAGTGATTTGTTTGGTTTATTACCTATGGAGCACAGTAAAATTTAAGTTCTCTGAGAGCAGTAAGTTTTTGTTTCCTTCCTGTTTTATTCACTGCTCTTTCTCAGCACCTAGAACCATGCCTGCACGTGAAAGATGTTCAATAAGTGATGTTGTGTGAATGAATGGGTTTGTGTTACAGACCCCCTGCCCAAACACTATATGGATAAAGCCAATCTAAAACAGAACTTTCTCCAAACAAAGGAAAATACCTATTTACATTAAATGGATAAAGATAGAAAGTCTGCTGAACTATAAGCCCAATAATATTAATGCTATTAATAGTGACTGTCTCTAAGTGGTAGTAATGCAGGTCATGGATTGGTTGATTTTTGCCTGCTTTTTTTTTTTTTTTTTTTCTAAAATAGAAGCAGAGGTGAATGACTTTCATAATTTTCTACAATAACAAGGAATGTTCATACTCACTGTGTGTCTGCTATAAGATAATCATTTTCCCAAATAGTAATTCAGTTAACTAATCTTCACAACAACATTCTGAGGTATTACTATGGTCTCTGTTTTCTGAGTGAAGAAATTGAGGCACAGAGAAGTTGAACAATATACCCAGGGCCACACAGCAAGAAAGTAGCACGGCCAACCAGTGAATCCAGGGCCCTCCATCTCCCCGCACCTCATTATGCTGCAATGCATGGTTGTTATTTATGGAGCTAAAACACCTGGGCGAATTTGTGGGTTTTCATTTTCCTATGAAATCTGCCCAGACCCAAACTTTGAATTCATTGCCAAGGGCACAAAGCACACACTGCTTTATGCCTGTTAGCCTGGCTTAAAGTGTAACGATCCTGCCTGCCAAATCATCCCACCTCCTCTCTGTGAGTACTGTTGACAAACAGGATTCACCCTTAGGATCTAAATTTAGAATGTGAGCAGCTAAAGTGTCTTGCCAATTTTCAGATTCAACTCTCATTAGCCCAGGACATGGAAAAATTTAAAGGCATAGAGCTATGGAGGGCAGATGTTTAAAAGGATAGACTGATTCCTTTTAATATGATTCAAAACCTGTTCCCTTATCAAAGGAATACATTCTCATTATGAAAAATATAGGAAAGTATCAAGAGATCTAAAAAAGCCACCCACTCCCCTGTCACTGGTGCCTAGGAAAACTTAAAATTTGCCCCATCCACGCAGAAGGGAGATGGTGGGGACTGAGGACTCTTTTGCACGTGTTCTGTGTTGCAAGGTGCATTGGAATTGCCCTCATCTGCTTCTTGTGGCATCCAGAGACTTGTCATGTAGGAGGTTTCAAAGTGACATTTTCTGGGTGTTCAGGAAAAGCAGCTAATAATGTTAGAAATGTGAGAATGCCAAGACCTGCACTGGATCTCTGGATGGAAGCTTCCTAGCAATGCACATACCCTTCCTGATTATTCATCTGATAATTGTAAAATGAAATTAACACCTCCACCTTAAAGCCCAACTGAAAACAGTTTGAGTTCAAACAAAACAAAATAAAACTTGAGCTAGTGCTCATCTATAAACTCTTATTGACTTTAAACAAAGTACTTAGCCTCTCCAAGTTTCAGTCTCCTTATTTACATATGAAAATAATAAAAGTGTCCTCACTGAATCCTAGGAGATGGAAATGAGATCATTTAAATAACCTGCATTAGGTTCTTGCTGCTTTGGGATTATTATGAATACTGTTGCCTTGAACATCCATGTGCAAGGTTTTATGTGGACATATGTCTTTGTTTCTCCTAGGCACACACTTAGGAGTGGAATTGCTGGGCCATATGTTAACTCTAGGGTTTACTGTCTGAGGAACTGCCAGATTTCCGGTGTAGTGTATGAGGGATTCCCGTTTTCACATATCCTTGCCAACTCTTGTTATTATCTCTTTGCTGAATTATAGTCATCCTCATGGGTATAAAGTAGTACCTCACTGTGGTTTGATTTCTGTTGTCCTCATAGATAATGCG